TATGGAAGTATCCATGAGATTCACTCTTCGGACTGTGGAAAATCACTGTTCATGCTTTTGAGCCTGTCTATACATTTACCCAGTTTAAAGATTAATTTCCTGCTGAGGGAATTCAACTGGTTAAGAAAAGTGACTTCCTCTCCGGATCAGGTAAGCAAGTAAGTAAATTTGATTATCTGATTAATTTACCATAAATGTTTAGGTATTTTGCAACAACATCCTAGTTTTGAAGCTAACTGGTAAGCATAGAAACATCTCTGAAGCCTTGCCATACAGAATTCTAATTAATTAAAAACTGCATTGAATTCACAACCAGAAATAAAGAAGATTATGTCAATAATTCTGTCTTGCTTTAGTTCTGAAATGATTAATTAAAATGGTTTAAAGAAAAAGGCTAACTAAACCATCATTGTACAGTGTTTTCTTGAATAATAATTACATAGGAATAGACCTCCTTCCTTTTCAGCTCAGTAGAAAAGTAATTTTCTATGAATTCATCTTTACAAACAACTTGCAATTGTATTCAAGTAATTGTTCAGAGAGGGAAGTCCAAATCCCAAGTATGAGAGCCAAAGAATGGGGACTATCAACCCAAGTCTTCTGTCACTCTATGAGGAATCTCATCAAAACCAGATGGCTACACAAAAGCTTGTCAATGATTAAGTCATCTGGGTGCTTCAGTTTTACTGATCAAATCTGAAGGGGTCCCAATCTACAAAGTATGCTGAGCGTCTGCCTTCCGGACACAGATCCCTTTGAAATGTCTCAAGCTAGGTCTTCCCACAAGAGTTTTAAAAAATCTTGGTTATAAAAGGTTTCAGTTGTGCTAGACCTAGCTATAACATGTATTTTAATATTCCATATAATCATTTGTTGGGCAAGACGTGCTTCTTCCTCTATTTGTTGCTTCTGGCTGTCTCCCTGATGTGTAGTCTCCCTCTGTGTATGACCACAGACATCCTGTATCCCCCAGCTAAACTTCATTTTTAGGACCATGTTCAGTGAATGGTTTAGAAAGAGGCCCAAATCAAAGCACTGTTAGAAGCATCTCTGGGCTGTGTCAGTCTCACGGTTGTCTCTCAGCACAAATGTGTTCTGAGTTTGCCGTTTTCTTTCAGTATATATTTCGTAACACTCCCTTTGACTGGCAATTTCCTGCATTTCTTTTTATGCTGTTGGCAATTTTGCTTTGTTTCCTGCTGCAGCTCAATCAGAATTTTCCTAGATTTAGCAGGCTTGTTAAAGTAATCACATTATATATGCTATCTGTCACTTTGTTTAACATGAACATTACTTGATGTACATTCAGGGTATATAATGAGCAAGGAAAGAATTTGCAATGCACAAAACAAAAGGAAGCACAATCACATTCCTGAAGTAGTTAGCACCATTACTTGATAGCTGAAAACCAGAACTCAAGGAGAGTGGGTAAAATTCAAGCCTGAAAATTTTTCCAAGTTACAGCAATCAGTCTGAATCTACAGCATCCTTTGAGTGAATAACTTTCTTTATTCAACAGTGTATTTCCTGATATTATGTGGCAGTGACCCAAACCAATCCAGTGGTCTGGTTTTTAGAAGTTAAAACTACCACATTTCCGCTACATGGCATAATATACCCTTTCTCACTGCCATTAAATCCAGTTGGTTCTGCGCTCCATAACATAGGAAGAAATGGAGCATAGTACAGTATGCCCCACATCAATAATTTTATTCACTTTCTTAACAGAATATCGATTAACAGCTATATACCTGAGGAGTCATTAATGGGTCATTGTACAGTCTGTGTATTATTTGGTGTGGATTAAATTTGCCTCTGTGAGCCAGCACATGGGCTTATTTAATATGCACAATGAGTTTTTACACAATACATACACCGGTGCTTCCTCTCGGCCCAGAGGTGAATTTCATTTGCATAACTCTCCTAGAATACAAAAGCTTACTTTCTTGAGCTCATGTCCTAGGCACACAAATGAAAAGCGTTTCAAACCATATGCATGTAATATAGAAGTCGTAAAACTGTATATTTGTATTTGCTCAGTGCTTTTATTGAAGTATGACTGAAGTAATTACATAAGTAAGGTAATAATATTCCTGAAGTAATTACATAAGTAATGTATTACTGTAAGTATATAACAATAGTATGAGTATTGTAAGTCCCTTAATTACTGATATTTAGAAAATCAACTAGAATTTACTACAAGAGTGTATCAATCTAAATCAAAATGGGTCTGTGAAAAGAGCAAACTGGAAAAACCACTCAACAGCTTGATATAAGCACTTCTTAAAAGAACTCTTGGGAGACATCTTCTCCAAGGTCCCTATCTCCTATGCATTCAGCACCTCATTTCACCAACCAGGAAGTGCAGAGATCAAAAGGAAACTAAACATTTACTGTTTTCCAAATCCAAAGGAGGGCTGGAACCTAAAAGCTTGTCTTTTTGTAACTATAATGTTTGATCTAAAACAAGATATTATCTCTTCCTACAAACCATGACTCGCCAGAAGACAAAATATTTCTGAGGTGGGAGAATTTCATATGTTAACAGCCAACACTGGACAAGCCAGCGGAGCATTTTTTCTAGGCGGCAACCTAGAGGAATTATATTATGTCAGATTAGGAGAATGTTAAATTTCAGTGAACTATATATGTTTATGGTTTGGTTTAAGTTATTTTTTCCTCCAAAATGCTTTTGTTAGGAGACACGTGTGATTCCAAGGAGATTACTAGTTGGTGATCAAGTGAGTTTATTAGTCTCAAGAGTTACCAGGAATGGGTTTTGGACAAGTATATTCTGAGATGCGACAGAAATGACTGACTGCCCTGTACTGAGGGCTGTTGTATACTGTAGTTCTCAGCTCATTCCTTTTTTTTGTGTGAACAAATGCAGAGTTATATAAGAGATGGAAAATTATACATGGTTTTTAAAAAAATTTGCAGGTATTTTTCATAATAATATGTTGTTTAAATATGACCTTTTTGGTCATAGGCTACCCTCTAACTTTATTGTTTGGTCAACCAGCTAGCAGTTGCAAGTGTACAGACTGCTTTTCACATCCCAGTGTTAGCAACTGGGAAGAGGGGCTGTGCACTGCTGTGTAGGTATTATACTCTAACCTTAACAGGAGCTACAAATCGGCTGCCAAAGGAAAAAATGCCAGCTCTTGATGGTCAAACATAGAACTCTAAATGAAAAGCCAGACAGTGGTTTGTTCTGGCTCCATGCACAAGAAGCTGGGCAGGGTGTCTGTCTCAATGGGGCCACTTTGTCAGGTTAGCTACCCCCTGGCCCTCCCCATCACCCACCTCTGCAGCCAGGAACAAAAGGAAGTAACAAATGCCTTGTCTGGCGGCAGGAGACAGCACTTGTAAAGACGATGTAACTCCATCTGCACCCAATATAAACCACTGCTGGTAAGAAAACAAAGATCATTCTCCCAGTTTTGATATAAAATATCTGAAATCTTCTCAAGAAGAAGTGTGATGTATTATTGCAAAACAGTACCATAATATGCTGGATGCAGATTAAGATAGCATCACCTAGTAGAATCCAAGGATGACATTGTGATTTGAATAAATGTCTCAAAAATCCCATGCAATTTCCCTAAAAATCTGCCTAGATTTTGCAGCAGGGAGGGTTGGCATCAGTTAGCATATCTTCACTACCACCTTTCCATTTATACTGTGATGTGGCTGTATTGAAAGAGTGCCAGTGCTTATCTACTTGTTTGTCAGCTGTTTTTTCAGTTGCTCAAAAAATTTCTTGCAAATGGCTGGCCAATACTGCTTTTTTCAGCAGCTAACTTATCCAGAAAAGTCTTTTTAAACCAAACAAAGACTACTTTTCCCTTCTTGTTCTGTAACTGCATGAATTTACCTCCAAGTCTCCATTTTCTGAGACTAATGTTAGCTCTTTCTCTCTAACTCTTGCTCTTTTTTAATAATTAATTTCATTTGATATTTCACTTCATCTTTTTGTCACTATTAACATCCTTTCCTTTATCTAACACATGCTCCACCTTCTTCAAAATGTCACCTTCTTCGAAATGAGAGGTGGGGTCCCTGCCACAGAATGGTGTGCATCGTCAAGTAAAGAGTGCAAGGAACTAAAATCTGTTTTAATACCATTAAATGTAAAAATATACTTAATAATAAAGTAAATAAGGCATGCAAGATAAAGGAACTCTATCGTGGGAAGAATTGACTTAAAATCACACAGGGGTTGTCCTAGTCTAACATTACAGTTGAAAGGGGTAGTACCAAACAAGCATTGTACTGTTTTATGACCGGGACTAAGTCCTTGAGAAGGGTCTGAAAAACAAATAATAATAATAATAATGAGATTACATTTCCCTGGAAGATTCCAACATAGGAAGGGAAAAGGGAATAGGCTATGATGTAAAGTTTGATGGAAAACCAAGAGGCACTGCCAAATCTCTCTTTAATTGAAATACTATCTGTGGATCAAAGAAAGATTCAGGCATTGCCAGTGTCCTCAAGCTTTGATCCAGCACTGTAATAAATACCCATGAAGATACCTGCACTCCTTGCCAAATGAGTGCCAAAGAAGGAAAGTGAAGACGACAAGCAGACACTTCAGGATTTCACTTGCTATGTATTAGCCAGGTATCAGAGTTAGGTGAGGGAAGAGGAAAAGGTTGAGAGGAAGAAAATAAAAATGAGAACACAGGAGCAGCAGAATAATCTTTGGCACTGAGGCCTGTAGGAAGTAGTTGTATGTCTCCTTATGCATTGTCTGTCAGTGACTTGACGTTGCCTTTGTGCAGTTCACGACAATTAGTTAGTGCCTTTCCACCTGTCTTGCAAATTCAATCTCAGCTGTAAAGGTCAAGTTGGGCTTTTTCCCACTTAGACATCACGACTCACAAGAAAGGGTTCAGATTACTACCCCACCCACATTTGTACAGCCCATCACCTTCAAGTTATGCTCACATGTCTTTGCTCATATGTCGCCGACTGATTTTGTAAAGGACCAGTTCAGTCCATGACTAATAAGAAGGAATAGATTCCAGCTTACTCCCCCTTGTGCTTGACCTTCAAGAGTAACGTGAGTAAAATGAGAAAAAAAAAGAATGATGCTAGGCAGGACTCTGGACACACACACACACGCACATGCACATTGACGTGTACATCACAGAATTTCATTTAAGATGTATTCACATAGGCATTCCTTAGTCCACACTTGCACAGTAGTAATCAATGTATTTCCAGTAGCTTTTTGCTATACAGCATCACAATATTTGTTAAATATTTCCTGACCGTTATGTAGAGAACCAGTGCAGCTTCTCGCTCAGCCTCTCTCCTTTCTGAAATTACTCTTCAAGTGCCTTGAGAAATAGAATCTCTTTGTAGCCAGGTTGTGTGTGTGTTTCTGTCTTCTTTCCAATATTATGTCACCAGTATACAAAAGAGAACAGCGTCATTTAAAGGTATTTATCTATCTACTGTAAGGAAATAAACATGTTCTCTCAATGAAGAAACAGATGGAAAATTAACCAAAATTCTTGACTCTTTTACAAAATATCTTAGAAAAAGTTACAAATCTCAGTTTCCTTATCTATAAACTGCAAACAGTCTTATTATTTCGTATTGGTGGCATAGACCTAAATTACTCCTGTTTGGAAAGTGCTTTGAGAGATTCTGTGGGAAAGCCATTTATATGAACCCAACTTATTTATATTGTTTGTAAGGAAATAAACATGTTCTCTCAATGAAGAAACAGATGGAAAATTAACCAAAATTCTTGACTCTTTTACAAAATATCTTAGAAAAAGTTACAAATCTCAGTTTCCTTATCTATAAACTGCAAACAGTCTTATTATTTCGTATTGGTGGCATAGACCTAAATTACTCCTGTTTGGAAAGTGCTTTGAGAGATTCTGTGGGAAAGCCATTTATATGAACCCAACTTATTGATATTGTTTAACAATTAATATAACTTTCATTGGCTATTTTTTTTATTTCTTAATTGGGGGAGATTTGTTGTGTTTTGCTTGGTTTTTTACATATGTGGCTTCAATGGGAGTTGCTTATGAAAGCATTGATTACATACTGAATAAGGAACTCAGAATTAGCAGCAGTGTTGGAATACTGTCATAAGTACAATATAAGGAACATTATAATTACAACAACAAATCAAGGGTGGATATTGACTGTCATGAAGGACTAACAGCATTTCTTTGGCTCTGCACCATCTTTGAATCAGAAATGGAAATTTGGCATGTTCTTCTGATACAGCTTTGTGTTGGCCAGAGCTTTATGACAGACCTGCCTGCACCTTTTCCTTAAAACGTACTCAACATAAGAGCTTTGAAACTGTCTTGCTTGTTTCATTAGAACAGGGGAACTTTAACTAGACGGAGTCCTAGATCTGCGCAGTGGAACAAATTAATAAGGTAACTAAAAAAATCTCTACCCTGCCCACTCTGTCCATTCAAGCCAGACCATTTCTGTCATGCTTGGTCCCAGTCCAGCATTTTTCAGTGACTTCCTGAGCTGCTACAGCCTTTCTGGGTGTCTGTCTTTCCACTCTCTCTGATGTCTGCCTTCTTGCCTCCTCTCTGTTCCTCTCAGGGAGTCTGGACCGGTTCTTCAGTTGCTTCCTGGCTGTACCTCTCTTCACCTGGCCTGACCCTGCACACTAGAAAGATGCTCCCAGCTGAAAATATCCACTTACTTGCAGAGATTTTTCACATGGCCCAGCACGCAACAGCCAAGACAAGACTGTCCAGAAATATATTTTCACTGAAGCATAATGCATAGCATGCATATATGTTGGCAAAAAAGAGAATCATGCTTTCTGTCACACTCTCTCCTATACTTCAATGTGAGATGTAAAGGTTCATGAAATCTAGGAGATACTAATTGCAGAGTTTGGGATCTAATAGGAGTCACATTTAGGGAATAGGATTTCAGTTCTTTATCCATGTAACGAGATTTTCATTGTGAGGGAAGCAACTATTTCCTAAGGCTGAAGGCTTCGCTTAGTTTGGTTTCACTGATCTACATTTGTCTTCCAGGCACCTTAGAAACAACAAAAGTTTTTCTTCTCCAAATGCACCCACAGCTGGTAGACTTGCCATCTCCCAGAGGGTATACCTATGCTCACTGCACTGTTCAGTAAACACGCACATTCAGAGCATAAATATACACGAATTATAATTAACAACTCACTAACCAGTCATCATGTCTCTGTATACTTTATCACAGCTAGAGTTTCCACCCTTGTTTTTATAGTTCCAGGATCTCAAATAGATAAACTTTCAGAGAGCAGTAAGGGAAACATAAGGCAGTCAAAGGAACAGCTAAAGCAATGGTAAGACAAAATATGTAATTTGCAGCCATTTAGATTTAACATCTGAGATTTTCTGAGGCCCAGTACTTCAAGGGTTTGTCTATCAGCAGGAGCATAAGCTTTCAATACTTTAAAAATTATATCTGATCCTTTACTAAGTGCTGGGGCAATCTGTGTATTTGTGTATTGCAAACTTTAAATGACATAAATCAAAGCTGACAGCCTAAAAACACTATCACTGAAGAACTTAAAATCCATAATGTTCTCATTTCAATGCCTCCATAGACCCCCTTTCCAGATTTGATGGAAAGACTGCTCTGCAGCTCTATGACTCTAGTCTGAAAAGCCAATGCTTTGTGGTAAGACTGACAGGATATGATTAATGTTGTTAAAAATGTATCAGCATATATTAGGGCAAACTTTGTGTATCCATCCAGGCCAATCAAATTGTCCATTATCAAATGAGGTAAGAAAATAAATAAGAGGCTTTCATTGTCGCATTCAGATTTTCCGATTACATTTAGTTTTGTAACATCATTTGCTATCCCCTGTTACATTTCTTTAGAACTTATTTGGTCTCTGAAACACGAAAAGGCTGAACATCAGTCATGTTGAGGGAAAAATACAGAACCTATGCATAAAGTTGGGTGTCAGAAAGAGTAGAACACTGTCCTTTAACAAAAATGTTCTTGGTTAAAATGTCTCTACTCTGTCTGCAAATGCACCAGATAGTTGAAATGCTGTCCTCTGGACATGCTTCATTTTCCATCAGCTACCACTAGAAGGCCCGCCAGCTACAGCTGGACAAATTACCATGGGTATTACTGCTGTTAGACACATATCTTATTTGATTTAGGCAGTCTGTTGTGCACTCTGCCTTCTCGTCCCATTCTGTGAGCAGAAGCACGCAGAATTGCTGCATCTGAACCATATTTGCCTTGATGGGAGAAAGACTGTCAAAGGTGTTAAGAGTTCAAAGACCTTGACGTAAGTACCTGTGTTAACTGAATTTAACTGTAAAGGAAGAGATTAGTTCCTGGAGGTAACTGAAAATGACCTTGAAAAGGAGATGTTTACAGAAACCAGGCAGCAAGCACTAAAATAAGCCTAAGGATGAGACAACTGTGATGATGTGTGTTGACTGAGACACAGTGAATCTACAAGGAAAGTGTGGATCACCATGAAATAAGAAATTGCTGTTGGCATGAACTATAAAAAGGAACCACAGATAAAGACATGGACACCTGACATTTTGCTAACCCTTTTCATGTTAACACCCTATAGTTCAGATCCCTCCAAAGATCCTTAGGTGTGAGCTATCCATTTCCAGAGGATTATTCTCAACATGTAAAGCTGAGTTTATGGAGGATCATGGCCTTTGAGAATAACATATCTGGGCATTAATGCTTTAATGAAATATAACAAATTTTTAATATAACAAATCATAAATTCTGTGATCTATTACTGTACCATTTTGAAACATTATCAGGAAACTTATTTAATAGCAATGACCACACTACATGGATTTTCCTTCCTGGACTCCTGCAAGAGTCCATAAGAAAGTTTATTTCAGGTCACAATGCCCATATAAAAATTGGACTAGAACTGAAGACTGCCGTGCTGGGTTATTATATACCATTAGTAGATGACTGCAATTTGAAGATCAGGTTCTATTTCAGGCATGTCTGAAACTGAAGGCATGTCTGTAATCAAAATTCCTTTGAATATTTATACTTCATTTCCTTTTCTTGGGTCTGTTTTTCAGACTAATCCATCAGATTTAGTCTAGATTTAGATTTCAGTGCCCTTTTACTAGGATATGGGAGTTTTGGTTTAAGCTTCTTTTGTCCTTCTTCCTAGACAAAATTAATATTGTTTTTTATGTTCTTTGAATTAGATACTTGGCTTTGCTGTCTGGGCAAATTTTGTTCTGAGGTGTTTTTATTTTGAAGTAAAATTAATGGAAACTGTGTGAATAAATGTCCGAATGTTTCAAACCTGTTCCAGATAAGAACTCTAGCTATGACACTCTCTGGGGACTGCTGATAATTTTCCAGGTGAATTCTCTATTGTGCTACCACATAGTCAAGTTTGCACAAAAATTTAACATAGAAGCACTGAGTCTCAAAGTTTTTTATTATGTAGAACAAGTGGCAGTAAGATCTATGTGTTGTTCTACCACACTGTTCCAGTAGAAGAGTGACTTTAGAAAACCTGATGAAGTTGGGAACATACTGCTTTGATGTACTGTTCAACGATGGGAGTGAATACACAGTAACTCTCTATGATGTTCATAATGTTAAGGAATATGATGGCGGAGTAAGAGACCGACTTCTTCTCCTTAAAATATTACTTTCTTTTCAGATCTTAGAGTGGATGGATTTCTTCCACCATATCTTTAACAGCCACTAAACAAAGTTCTTGTAATGATATACCATGGAATCAGTTGGATACTAGTTGATACTACTGCAAGCCGTCTGTAAAACTGCATTGAGATTGATACTGTGGTAGAGAACATATGAGAACATTGGATTTAGAGAGAGATGTATACATAACAGAACAAACTGGAATGAAAAATTACGTAATTCCCAGTAATCCCATCAGATTAAACAGATAAAGGATAAAGATGGAGGAACGTAGGACTGAGAAGGCTTCGTCTCCCTTTTTTCAACTGATATGAGAGGAAGAATTAGTCCCTATGGACTAATCTCACCCTAATTTACAATCCCATGTCGGAACCACTGTGGCATGACCTATACAGAAAGAAACATACCCTGCTACTTTTATATATGAAGAATCTATTAATGAAGTCCTACAAATACATGTTGCTTCTGCTGGAAAAAAGACTGTGTCATCACCATTCTGATCACCTCACTGCCTCAAAGTTTCTCTATATCAAAATGGAAAACAAAGGCAAATTTTCAGCTTTTCCGGAAAAAAAAATAAATTGCTGTGCTAAGTCCCTTCTGTTTCAAACCTCCTAGAAAGTTTGTTCAAAGATGGTGGATAGTTGCCTCAGGTGTTTTTCTAGACATTGCAATAACTATTCCATATTCACTCTTTCTGAGCAGTGATTTTGTTGCTATTTTAATTGTCTTTATCAAGGAGAAGCTGATTTGTTATTTAAAATAAGCATAAACTAGCAAGTAGGTATATGTTCCGTTGGCATCAGAAGGGCAGAGCAAGGCTCTCAGCACCAAGCAAAGGCAGAACAGGACAGGACACAGTGGAACACCCTTGTGATTTATTAGTGCAGAACATACTTCATGGATAAAAACACTGCAAGTTCTGAACACTGCTGGCCAAGTTTCAAACTGCAAAGGACAGCTTGAACAGCAGCTGAGGTTATTTTTGTGTGTGTTTATATGGTCTTAAAATTCAGACAATTTGGGGCTCTCCAGTTGTGCAATAGTTAAGCTGTGTAAGTTCATGGTTTGATTTTTCACTACCATCACGTCTCCTTTTTGTTGGTGATCCTCAGATTTTATTATTACAGGTTCTTCTATCGTCTCCTTAAACTACAGACAACTTTTCCTTATGACAAAAAGGAAAAAGGGCAAACAGTATGGTCCCCAACACAAGGGGATCTTCATGTCTACCTGGGATCTAATGCCAGACCAACATTAAACCAGTTCATTAATAAAAACTGATGGGAAAACCTGCAATAGATGCAACCAGGATACTAATAAAATTGGTCAAAGAGACTGAAACTGAAAGCACAGTGAAAAAATCTTATTATTTTAATGTGTTTATATCTAATTATATCACTAAAATTATATCCAGATGAGCTGGGACACTGCTGTATCTGACCTCAGTAATCCACTTGCTAGAAACCACCAGCTTCTGTCTCCAGCATCAACATACAGCAGTCTGCAGCCCTGACAGCACCTCTCCATCTGCAGAGCTTGTATGGGATACTAAGTCTGAAAATTGCTTCGATAACCATGAAGTCTGAAAGGGAGTCTTATCTATGTCTTCCTCTTTGCAAGTGTAATTCAAAAGTAATATATAGCATTTTGAACTGAGGAGGCCTTTTTTGGCATTGATCTGAAATGTTAGGGGAAAAGGGTTACTCGGCTGGGTTGCTTAGAATAGTATATTAATAGCGTTGAAGCACTTTCTTTCAATCTGCTTTTGTTTTCTGAGTTTTAATTTAAAACATTGTGCTTTAGAATTATAAGTTAGGTATAAAGAAGGAAGAAGATAAATGTGATAATGAAAATTTACACTCTGTGCCTACCCCAAAAAATCCAGAGATTTTTCAGTTTAGTCACACTCTTGCAAATCCAAAACATACATACAGTTCCATACCTAATCTACAAATACATTCGCCAATGCCATGTGCTCTGAATATATAATCATATTTAGAAGTCACTACTTGATATTGGTGTATTTCTTTACCCTAGAGATAACTGACTGGTTAGTTACTATTTCCTCACTGCTCCAAAAAGTCCAAATATTTATACATAAGGAGCTTGCTAAGTTCCCTTATGAGTTTGTATGAGTCAGTTGCACAAAATAGGGGGTGAGCAGAGTCAGTAGTGCAGGAAATCTTTCCCAGTTCAATGTCTCTAAGTGTTTAAGCTCTCTGGCCTTCATAAGACTTTGAGAAAAGCTTAAATCTGTATGCCCTTTGAGGCTTTGCTGTGTAAGAGCTTTAAAGGTTGCATAACTGTTTGTTTGCCAAGTGGCATCACAGACCTATCATATTAATAATGGGGAGCATGCTTCCCAAGGATGACAAATTTATCTGAAGAACATCTTAAGATAGGTAGGAAAGTAATGCTTATTTTCATTTTACTGACATTCATGGGGTACTGCAGGTTATAAGTAAAACTGGGAACAGATTGCTTGGGTAGGGGGGTCAGCGCAGCCATGGCTCCACTTCTTCCTGTGGTTTGCAGCATGTACATGAGATTATCTCTCTTGGCATCATTGCTGAGGGCTGAAATTGCACCATTACTTCCCACTTGTTTTACTTTTTCAGGATTTATCTTGAGCAAGAAGCATTTGAATTTATACTTTTTTAAAAAAATCTGTTATTGAAAATGAAAAGAACCAGCAAAGCCCAAGAACACCCTAGCAAACAGTGCTAGGTCATCCTCCTGCACTGGCCTGCCTCCTTACAGCCTGGGGGCCAGAGGTCCCATGGCATCTACTGCTGCCCTTCAGAGGAAGGGATGCTGCACAGCCCTCCCCTCTGTTAAAATGGATCTTTTGACCTCGTCTTGTGAAATTTCAAGCACATGAAAAACTCGTTGCAGCTCAGCACATCAGGGCAGCTTTCAGGTGACCTAACAGTATTTTTTTATAGGAAACAAGCACGTAATTAATGACAGAAAACTGAATACATTTCATTCACAGTATCCCAGCTGTCACTGCTCTGTGTCCTTAAAGTCCTGTTTCTGATCCCATGCTGTGGTGTACCACCCCAGCTACTTTGGCCATGACTGCTTTCCCTGGCATTTGTTTAAAGTAATTCTGGTGGGTTCATAGGAGTTACTGCTGATACACGCTAGCTACTGAGGAGCTAACAACAGACTCTGTCTATAAACACATGTTTTTAAATGCATTGCCTCTTGAGTATAACCTATATGAAAATGTGCAAGTGTTCTTCCTTTCTATGTTCTTTATTAATGCTTAGTTAACTTCACAGATGAAATCAATTTTTAAAAATACTCTCATCCTTCTAATGGAAAACAATGGGGAACTCAGTGATGATGCATCAAATAATTCCAGATCTGCATAATTAAACATTTAATTTTACAAAAAAACTTTGATTTAGTGTTCACATAACAAAAGCTGATAAAGGATAAGAATAATAAGAAAGGGGGTGAATAATACAGTTGGGAGGAGAGGCAGACATGAAGTGGTTTTACTGGGCTGGAGAGGAATAGGTGTGATAATGTGGAGTAACAGACAACATTGGTGAGAATTTATTCCAACAGGAAAACGTTATGGGTTATGGACTATTGGAGTCAGACAGAAATGGACAGAAGTGATGGGCAGAGCAGCCAAAGAGGAGCAGCAGAGTTATTTAGCAAAGCTGTTAAACTCTGCCAGAGAAAATTTAGGTGGAAAGAGACAATAGCGGTTCTCACTCTCCAAAATAAGCTAATTTTAGAAAATAAAAAAGTGCAAATTTTTTATATAATTTTGTGTGTAATTGCATATATCTGCTCATGAATATCCGATCTAGATGATACAGCTCTTTATGTTATACTTTTTTAAGAAGCAGGCTCTGGAAAAACTCATAGACCACGCAGCTCTACAAAATACTGTCTAATAGAAATCACTGCGACTCCAAATATTTGCTTTCATTAGACAAACAAACAAAAGAGAAGGAGAAAATCTCATCCTTTTCTCATACTGAGCTAGATCAAGAACATCTCCAGGAGAATCCATGGAATCACACTTACACAAAACTGACAGTATCATGTTCTGAATCTTTGGCTGTTACAACGTTATAAGGATCATTTCAGTTCAGTGTGAAATTGTTCAGCGATGATTTCAGTGCTGTACTCTGTAGGAGGCAACGAGGCTAAGTGGTGTATACAGTAAGTATCCATTTCAGTGAAACAGCAGGCAGAGGAGCGACATGTCATTCCCAGGCCTAAAGTCAGAACTGCCCTTCCTACAGAATTAGGGAAAATCTACTTTCTCACATCCAAAAGGCTCAATTGTACATCAGATCCCAAACTTAAACATTTTCCAGTATACCAAAACTTCAGACTGTGAACTCAGAAGCAAAAGGTTCTGTTTTCCTTTCAGGCAAATTCTCCAAAGCAATTAACTAATAGAAGGATCTGCTGCAAAATGAAAATGGAAGATTTTGGAAATTATAAATATGAATGTAAATAATACCAGATATCTTGCTTTTCAAATCAGCCTCTCATGTTTCCTATTCTGCCATGTCGTTGCACCAATAAGGTCTGACCAATAAGATACAGGGACAGACTAATTTGAACGGGTTAACTTGAATACAATGCAT